TTCCAGAAAGTGCAAGTTAATGGTAGCTAAAAACTGTGTACAGCCACTGTAGAAATGCTTTTATAATTGATCTCTCTTGTTTTTCAGTCTGGAGAGGCAATTTAGAGACAGCCTCACCATTCTTCCTCATTTGCAGGTATTGCTGGTACCTCCTGCAGTCCCTCTGTGGCATTGCAATCAGGACTTCATTTATTTTTATTCCTCTTGATTTATCTACACATCTTTCTTTTTGTGACAGCTGCAATTTCATTTCAACAAGGAGGATGACACACTGATACTTTAATTCCTACTGGGGAGCCTGTGCTACACCTTTGCCAACGTTCCTGCTCCTTTCCTCCAGCCTGATGCAGAAGCAAATAACTCCTGCTTTTTCTTTTGTGGCAGTTGGAAAGCAAGTGATGGAGCAGGGCTGTGTCCCTCCTGCAGTGCCAGGCACTGAGCAGCTGCATGTTTTAAGACTGGTTTGGAGTTGAATGAACAGGCTTGCAGCACATTTTTTCCTTCAAGGCACATAAAGACTCCTCTGTGGGGTTTCACCTCCTCCGGTTCTGGAGAAGTGTGGATCAAGGCAGGTAGAGCTGGTCAGGAATGTGTTCAGAGGAAAAAATCATTCCATGTCCCTTCTGGTCTGACACCTGATGGCTCCCACCTGTGTGTGATGCCTGTGACTGTGTCCTGTCCTTCAGCAGAGGGGCCTGGAACTGGGGCTGCCCCTGGAACAAATCCTGCAGGCTGCCCAGAGCAGGAGGGCAGGGCAGCTGGAGCAGCAGCCGTGTCCTGCCTGTCCCAGCTGTGCTGGCAGGGAGAGGTGGACCTGGGCTTTTCTGCTGCAGCACTGCCTTGTTTAGACCCAAGGCTGAGTCATTTCTCAGCTGCTCCACTGCAGCTGGGGCTGGAATGGCTGCCAGTATCCAGGAGCTTTTGGAATATCAGCTTGTGTCAGTGTGCTGTCAAGGGCAAGGCCAGTTGTACTGGTTGAAGACTTTGAAGACCCTCAACAACAACTCAGAGCCTGCCTTGGGTCAGGGATTAGATTGTAAAATTAATTAAGTGGTTGGAAAAGCTGTGTGGGTGAGAGCAGAGGCCTCACAAGCAGAGGGGGTAGTGACAGGAGCTTAGGGAGAAGGTCTAGAACAAATACCTCCAGGAGAGCTCTTGGGTTGGATCATTTCTTTTGGTGGAAGCAAGGTACAGCCATCCCCACCCCTGGGCTGAGCTCTGCTATTTGTGGATTGAACCCAAATATCCCTGAGCCAGCACACAGCCAGATGTACAAAAGGCAAATGAGAAGCCAGCCAGGTAGGGGAATGACCTGCAGGCCTGAAGAACAGTGAGTACAGGGCACTTCTTGGGATAGTTTCTGATTTCTGGCATCAAAACGGAGAGGGCTGTGTTCTTGGTAAGGAAAAAGTGGCATCCATGACTGGGAGCATGACTGGGGCTTGCAGAAGTAATCCGAGTTTGGAGTTATAAGACTGGTCTGTGCTCAAACTTTATGTGAGTGAAAATGGGTTCTGGGAGGATCTGGGAACATAAAATGCTGACTTTTCCCCTTGGAAACCAGCATGTATCTGCACACCTCGCTGCACAGGGGCTTGTGGAGCCACGCTTGGGTTGTGGCTGGGATGCAGAGGTGGGTATTGGAGCTCAGTGACCTTGCTTTGGGTGGGTGGGACACAGAGGACCTCGGAGCAGCACCTGCCTGTACAGCTCACAGGCTGCCGGCCACTGAGAATGCGTGCTGTGTTAGATCACATCTTTTTTGTGCCTGTAGAAGGCTCTCCCGACGGTCCCACAGCCCATTCCTGCATCCCGGGGGCGGATGCGGTCCCGCAGTGGCCGGGGCAGCGGGAGCCAGCCCGGCTCTGTCCCTCCCGCAGGCAGATCTGCAGCGCAGCGTTTTCCGTGCCGGGGCTGGTTCCCGGAGCAGTTGTCACCGCTGCTCCCCTGAATCCCCCATTGTTGGCAAAGCTCCTCAGCTGCTGCCGCCCTTGGCTCCCCCGCTCGGCCCGGAGCTGGCAGCCGTGTGAAAGCGGCTTCTGTGCGGGGCCGGGGCTCTGGGGACTGTCCCCTGCCCTTCAGGGGCTCTGGGGACTGTCCCCTGCCCGCCCGGGGCTCTCGGGGAGCAGTTTCCAGCCATCCCCTGCCCAGGCTGGGCTCTGAGGAAGCCATTCCCATCCGTCCCTCCCCTGCCGACCCGGGACTCCTGGGGACCATTCCCTGCCCGCCCGAAGCTCTCGGGGACCGTTCCCGGCCGTCCCCTGCCCGTCCCGGGCTCTCGGGGACTGTCCCCTGCTCTGCCGGAGCTCTCGGGGACTGTCCCCAGCCGTCCCCGGCTCTCCGGGCGCTGCAGGGCGGTTCTCCTCCCGAGAGAGGGCAGCGCGCTCCAGCTGCTGCCGCTGCCCAAGCCTGGCCCGGGGCTGGGCCGGGGGTGCCGTGCCCAGGGGACCCCCTCGCCGAGCCCCCCCTGCCAGCAGACTCCGAGCTCGTCTCTCCTGGGGCTGCGGGCAGGCCCAGGGCGGAGGTCCCTGGCTGAGCCGGAGTGTGAATCCATCCCCTCCCACAGCGGGAATGATAAAGCTGGAGGCATCAATCGTGCTTTGTAAGTTGATAGCGGAACCCCAGGGATACCTCTGTGCCTCCCAGCAGGAGCTCTGGCCAGGGACCAGGCTGAGTTTGCTCCATCAGTTCGCTCTGGAGAGCCGTGGAGGGGAGAGGTCAGCATCACACGGGACCTGCTGTGCCCAAATTCTGCTCGGGGGATCATCCCCATCAGATCACGTTCTGCAGGAGCTCTTACCCAAGTGTGGACATGGGGAGCTGAGCTCTGTTATTGATCCTCTCTCCTCATTACTGCATGAGTTTGGCTCAGTTAGAGCAGCTCTTCTGGCAGACATGTCCTTGCTGCTCCTGCCTGTTGCTCTCAAGACCAGGAGTGTTGTTTTTCAGACATCCAAACCCAGCAGCTCTCACAGCTCCTGTGAGTGCTGCAGGTTCCAGCAACTGACAGGGAATTGCTGCAGGTCCAGAGTCGGGAGCTGCTGCTACTGAGCACCTCTGATGCTCCTATTGATTCCCTTGTCAGGGATTCCAACCCCCGGAGAAGCTGTCAGGACCAGCTTCTCTTATTTTAAGGCAGTGATAAATCCTGCTCCGGAGGGTGCTGGCTGAAGTGCTCTGTCTCCGTGCTGGTTAATGCAAGCCACATGCTGCTGCATTCCTGAGCGGGCAAACACCCTCCAACACACTTCCAACCAAGAGCTGTGGAAAATTTAAACTGCCAGGAGAAAGAGCAGGAGGTGTCCTGGGTGTTGGCAGCAATCAAGGGCACTGTGACAGCTGGAAATGTAACACCTAAACACCCCATGTCACCCTATTAGCAGCTCCCAGTGGCCAATTTCCCTCAGTCTCACCCAAATTCCTCTTTGTGCCCCAAATTGACAGTGAGCACAGAAGCAAGGACCCAGACGCTGGAACTTCCCCACCCTGATTCTGGCTCTGGCCATGAGCAATTTCCAGGGCTCAGAGGGAGCCTCTGAAAACAAGTGATGCACTGGACTCGGGATGATGCCTTCGTGGCTACCGGGATTAGGGCAAGAAGGAGGCAGAAGGGACCAAATACACATGGAAAAGCTGCTGAAGCAAAGAGCGCTGTGACGCTGCCAATCTCCGGGTGATTTGGCTGAGCTCTAGAGCAGCTCTGACGAGATCGAGACCCAGGAAATGCAAAGCTCTGCGGGAGAAGGGGAGATAAAGACCGTGGTTGGTTGTTGCTAAGAATACAATTATCCATACGCTAACGATTGCCTGCCTGATAGGATTACCAATAAAGACAAACGCAGTGAGGATCATGGCTTCACTTCCTTCCTCCCACCCGGGGATTTAATCCCGTCTTTGTTTGAGTTTTGTCTTCAGGCAGTCAACGAAAAAACTCTGCTCCGGGTGGTATCCCCAGAGCCTTTTCCCTGGAGGAAACTTTCCGGGGTGAATTCCATGTCTGCTCCCCTCAAGTGTATCCCACTCCGTGCTGGTTTCACCCTGGCAGGAATAGTTTAGGCCTTCTAATTTCAGCCTGCTTTGTAAAAGGTTGGCTAATCCTCCCAGCAGTCTCAAGAGGCAGGAAATCCTCAGTGGCAGAGACTGGAGGAACCTGACAACTCCTTGGCCACTCTGCTTGCCAGTTTGTGATGGCTTTTGGACACATCCTGGTTTTTCAGTCTCCTGTTTTTCAGACCTCACAGCAGCAAAATGCTCGGGGGGAGGCTCTGGCAGCCTAGCTGTTCTCGGCACCAGCTTTACCTGGTGGATATCACAGCAGTTTATGGCACTGATATCCCCTGCAGCTCCTGGGGAAGGCGGAGTGATGCTCTGGAGCTTGGCATGGATGTGCTGCCAGATGCTGCTCACCCAGGGCAGTCAGGACAGCCTTCCTGGCCCTGCCAGCCCCTCCGCTACCCAGCCAAGGGCTAACAAGGTGCAAATGCTCATTAAACACTGCCCGGAGGCCAGCCGACACCCCAGCGTGTCAGAGCTCCCCAAGCCCTGGGTGCCTGCGCAGGGAGCATCCCGGGAGACTGGCACCTTCCCAGTGTTCGAACGGGATCCTCATCGAGTGACAGGACAAGAGGAAATGTCCTCAGGTTGCGCCAGGGGAGGTTTAGATTGGGTATTAGGAACAATTTCTTCACTGACAGGGGTTATCATCCTAGAAGTCTTTTCCGATGTAAATTATTGTAGGATTCGGCGATGCAAGGCACTGCCGAGCAGTTCGGGAATGACTTTGGGGATACAAGGCAGTGTCTAATGAAAGATCCCCTTGTCCCAAGCAGAGCCGAGTTGCCCGCAGCCCAAGCCTTCCTCTCCCGGTCGCCCCTTCCCAAATCCCACCCCTGGGTGCGGATGGGTGCGGGCGCGCATCCCCGGCGGGCGGGGCGCGGGGCCGGGCTGCGGCTGCCGGCTCGGAGGGGGAGGTGGGTGCCGGGCCCGGGGGGGCCGGGGCGGTGGGCAGGGCCGGCGGATGACGCCGGGTAAAGCCGGCCGAGAGCCGGCCCAGCCCCGCCGCCGGCCGAGCGCTGCCCGCGCACCCCCCGCGGCCGCGCAGTCGGGTCGGGCGGGCTCCGGCGGCAGGGCAGGATGGACCTGGCCGTGGACTCGTACCTGGCCGTCCCGCTGCTCTTCACCGTCCTGGCTCTCGTCCTCGCCTCCGTCTTCCTGAGGCTGCGGGGAGGCGGCGGCGGGCGGGCGGCGGAGCGGCCCCGGGAGCCCGCGGCGGAGCCGGCTCGGGAGGGCGGCCCCGGGGGCGAAGCGGCGGCAGCGGCACCGGCCGCGGCCAAGGGGCCGGAGGACGAGGGGAGCCGGGTGCCGGTGGAGGAGGTCGGAGTGAGCGACGAGGGGAAGGAAGCGGTCGCCGAGCAGCGGGAGGCGGCGGCGGAGCCGGGCCCCGCGGCCGAGCCCAGCCCCGCGGCGGCCGAGAGCATCCCCAGGCAGCCGCCCGAGGAGCCCCGGCAGCCCCCCGAGGAGCCCCGGCAGCCCGGACACCGAGAGGATGCGGAGAGCAAGGTGAGGCCGGCTCCCCTAGGTCCCCACAGCCGAGGTTCCCCCAGTCCCCCCGTGGTGTCCCTTCTCCATCCCTCTGTCCTCGCGGGAGGGAGCAGCGCTTCGCGTGTTCCCCCAAACTAAGAGAGGTCCCGGCAAGCCCCGTGTTTTGTCTTCGGGTGGGAACAAGCCCGTTGTCCCCGGAGGAGGCAGCGGTTTGGGGGGGTGTTTCTGGCTCCTTCCCTCCCCCGTGCTCCAGGGAGTGCTCCTAAAAATCTTCAAAGAAGTGAAGATTTAAGGGAAGAGAAGCGTGTGTCAGTGTGAGCCTCTCCTGTGTGCACATCTAACCCCTGGGAGTCTTTTCCTTTCCCCACGAGCTTATCCAGGTGCTGGGGTATGTGCTTGTGTTTATTCTTCTCGTCCGCATCCCTTTTCGGTGGGTTACAGGAACTGTCCCCGTGCCAGCGCGGGTTCCTTGCGCTGTCCCTGCCTGCCCCAGGGAAGGGACCGCCCCGCTCCTTCCCAGCCCCAGCAGGATGCTGGCCCCAAGCTCTGACCCCTGGCTGAACTGGGGGCTGGGGGCGGCAGTGATCCCTACAAACGCCCGGTAAATCTTCTCCTCCACCGGATCTTGTTTAAAAATAAAAGAGCGACCCAGTGTCCACGGGAAGATCTTCTGCTCTTGCCCAGCCTGGATGGGACTCGGTGACAACCTGAGGTGCCTCAACTCCCTGCCTCGGTGGCTTTCTGCCATGTGGCTCCTTGTCCAAAGGGCGGGAAGGGAGCGCTGGTGTGGCTCGGGAATGCGGGAGCGTCGCCGTGTGCCGGCAGCGTGCTTGGGCCGGGGCACAGGGCTGGGGCCCAGTCGCCTCCTGGCTATTATTAGCAGCATTTGTAATCCTCAGCAACTGTTTCCAGGCTGCCGGGCAGTGCATACTCAGCCCTCGCCTTGGAAAGCATCTCCAGTGACTCACCGGATAGCCTTGGGCAGGTCCCGGGGCTCGCACACCCTGCTCTGTGCTGTGATGCTCTGCAGCACCCACGGGTGAGCTGCTCGGGGCTGGGATGTGGCTCTGCTTCCCTGTGCTCCTCGCACCTCCCTCGGTGGTTTTTGAGCCTCCGAGCTCTCCCTCTCTCCTTCCCGGTGCCCCTTGCCCTTGGATACAGCCCTTGACACAGCATCCTGAAAACACATCTGTTTCTCTCCCTTGTGATTTATCGGTGCCTGTGAGTACCAGGATCTCTGGAGAGCTCCTGGGCCACCGTTAGCCAGCTGGGTCCTGGCTGGGCCAGCTCAGCACCAAAGCTGGCCACTTGGCTGGAGCTGCTCTCTGGTGAGGTGCAGCACTCCTTGGGACAGATGGCTGGATCCACGGCTGCCAGAGCCCACGGGTTCCTCTGCTGCTAGCTCACATGTTGGGAATGTTTTCCTCCCCTCTGACTGCTCTTCAGCCCTGATTTCTTTGACCAGGCACTGCTGCAATGCTTGTTGCCTTCAGAGGAGGGCTCAGCTCCTTTGTCCCCACTCAGCACAGGTGCAGTACCAGGGTTTTGTGTGCCTGGAATGAGTTCTTACTCAAGAAACAGGGAGTTCTGTGTCCTCCAGAAGCCTGGCTGGGCTCTGTGGGATGGGGGCTGCCCTCAGCCCCTCTTACAGCAAAGGAGCAGCACAGGGTCCTGCCCAGCTTTTCCACCTGGGAAATTGTTCCCTCACTGTGTGAGCAAGGCAGAACAAGTCACCCTGGGCCTGAGCAGCATCCCTTTGGGCAGGTCAGGGGCCAGGCCCGTGTGATGTGGGGAGCAGTGAGTGTTTGGGAGCCGTGGCCCCGCATGATCCCGCGGCTGCCTGGCCAGGCTGATGGCACAGCTGGCCGAGGGACTACGTGCACTTCCAGCAGGCACCACACACGTGTGGCAGTGCCCAGTCTGCTGATCCAAGGGTTGCTGCTGTGGGCACAGTGGCAGAGACCATCCACAGCTCTGCAGCGTCTCCCTGGATTCCCTGGTTTTGCTCCCTATGAACATCCTCAAAGCTGCTTCATCCTTCCCCTCCTCCAGCACCACCCAGACCCAAGCCCAGCAGACGTTACAGGCAGGGATGGGACGGGCCCTGGGCAGAGCAGGGAGTGCTTTGCAGGCGGCTGCTGATGGAATCGTTCCCTTTCCAGCCTGCCTTGGCTGGGCGAGGGCTGCAGTCCCCTGATGTGACTCAGCAGACGAGGCTCCCTGACCCTGTCCGGCTGCTGCTCCTGCAGGCTCGGGGCTTCTCAGTACATCAGCAGGCAGAGGGCTGAGCCTGCCACTCAGACAGCTTTCTCTCCTTATTTATTTTCTTTCCTTATTTATTTTCTTTCCTTATTTTCTTTCCCCCGTTTGCTTAGCACGCACTGTGCCAGGCTGGCTCGCATTGCCCGCAGCCATTAACCACTCGACCAAAATGCTGATGGATGAACCCGCCCAGGGAGAGCAGCCTCGGTGTGTTAATGACGGGCTGAGCCGTGCATCCTCCTCCCCTGCTCCCTGCCTGTGCAAACTGGGATCTGCTGGGGCAGCTGCACGTCTTGGCCTCCCTCCTGCTTCCATCTCCTGCAAGGCTGGTAAAATCGCTAAAATTGAATGCTCCCTGCCCCTCTCTGCAGTGACCAGTTCATTGCAGCATCATGCTCAGGGCTACAAAATGACCCAGTGGCAGAGCAGGGAAAGGAGCCCAGCAGTCCTTGTTTCCCTTAACTGCTGGTAGTGTTTCCCCTTGTCTCTGCTGGCTCCCATCACTGAAAAAAAACAAACTTAATTAGTCTGTCATTGTCTGTTCTCATCCCCATCCCCAGCTCGTTAATGGATGAGGCAGTGCTGTCAAAGCAATCCCGTAATGAAAAGCTGCTGGGTGGGAACTGGGTGGGAACGGCAGCGAGCTGGGGCTGTGGAGCGTGGTTCTTGTGAGAAACGGTCAGAAACTTCAACTCCCTAATGAGCCATTCTGTCCTGAAGTGGCAGGTGGCAGGGACCGGGCGAGGTTTTCAGTGTTGGACCAGAGCCACCTCCGGGATGCCATCCTGGCCAAAATGTTCTGGAGAAGGGGAGGGTGAGTGGGCAGTGCCAGGGCACGGCAGCCTGACTGGTTTGCCAAGGGTTAATTGCAGCTGAGGGCTTCAAACAGAGCAGGGGCGAGTGGGCGACAGTGGGGAGAGGGGACACAAAAACCCTGTCTGAGCAGGGCAGCCTGGGGGCTGTCACCTGGACAGCAGAGGCACAAAGCTTCATCTGTCTCTTCTGCCAAGCTCCTGGTGCATTTTCTGCATTTTCCCCGTGCCTCCCAGCCCAGGCTGTGCCTCCCTGGGGGCTCCCGGTGCCTCGACACACCGGGCAGCACAAACCACCCAGCTCCCACCAGGAGCCCTCTTCACATTTAAAAAGTCATAATTTCCCTCTCTAATGCCTCCTGCCTGCCCTCCCTGTGCTGCAGGGGAGAGGGTGTCTAATTAAGTCAGGCTGTAATTGGCAGCTGTTCAGGCTGTGTCTGCACTGCCAGAGGGCTGGGACAGGAGCTCCAGTGTCCCACAGGGCACTGGGGAGGGATGTGGTGATGTGCTACCCCCGTCACAGCCCTGGCAGCAGCACTGCCAGGGAATGCAGGGCTCCCCACCCAGACCCCTGAGTGCTCAGACGTGCCCAGCTCTCACCCAGAGCAGCCTGTGCCAGGGACAAATGCATCATCTCTTGCAGTGAATGGAAACTGGGAAGTGAGACAGGACGTGTGTCACCCCCAGGGAGCCTGGGCACGTGTGGTGCCCGCCCTGAATCCCACCACGGGGCTGCTGCTGGGACGTGGCTGGGGCAGGGTGGCACTGGGCTCTGTTGTGTTCCCTGCACGGGTCAGGGAGGCTGGGCTGCTGCCCTGGGGCTGGGTGAAGCCCTGGAGCTGTGCCAGAGCCAGGGCACTGCTGGAGCAGAGGCCACGAGGACTCTTTACCTCCTGAGTGCCCACTTGTGTGAAGGGCTGCCAGGTGAGGGCCAGCTTTGCCTCCTGCCAAGGATGCCATGCAGCTCACCTGGGCAGCAAGGGACGTCCTGGTGTGTGGTGTTTGCTGTAGCAGAAAGGGAGTGAGCTGGCTGGATGTGATGGTGCCTGCAGGGATGGGTGCTGCTGAGCTGGGCTCCTCACCCTGCTCTGGGACTCACCAGAGTTTTCCTCTCCAGCCCTGGCACTGCCTGATCCTCACTAAGGGCTGGATGGTCCCAGATCTTCAGAAAGGCTCTGCCCACTCTGTGTCCTTGCCCCTAGCAGTGACAGGGGAAGTGGCAGGAGCAGATGCTCCCATGATTTGGGGGGCTCAGAACCTGCAAAACTCCATCCCCACATGAGGAACATCCTGTCCAGGCACCCCAGAGCTGGCAGGACCATCAGCCGGGCTGGAAATCTGCTCTTGGTCTGCAGCTGCTCCTCTGGCCAGAGGGAGGATGGAGCCCCAGTGGTGGGTGAAGGGGAGCTGCTGACACAGCAGCTGCTTTGCTCTGCTAAACTCTGCCCAACATTATTATTATTTAGTCTTTTTTCAAAGGTTTCTTCCTTCCCCTTTTCTCCTGGCTTTTCTCTTTCTGGCTGGCTCTCTCCTGTCTGCTTTCTTTCCCTCTTGCAATGTCTTGCATCAGGCTTGGAGCAGAAAGTGCAGCCATAAATGGCAACACACAGGGCCCAGGAGTTTAATCCAAGATAATTTTCTCCCCTTGCTTTGCAGCCTGGGATCTTCCCCTTTCCTGAAGCTAGAGCAGGGCACTTATTTGTCCCCAACCTGCCCATGAGGGCCAGGACTGTCTCTGAAGAAAGGGTGAGGGACACACCGCCCTCAAATTCTCCTCTTGTCCTTTCTGAGAAAGAAACCCTTTGCTCAGAGGGGTTTGCAGCGGGGATGGAGGAAGTGGGGAGGAAATGGCCAGAAATGAGCTGAAATCCAGACGATGCTGCAGTGGGAAGCCTGGCTCCCATCTCCCACAGGCTGGGAGAGGGTTCAGTGGTGGCAGAGCCTTGAGGGGGCATTTTGGGGTCACCATGCCAAGCTCCTCTATCTGAGCCATCCTCCCCAGGGAGACCCAGGGCTGTCCAGGTCAGTGCTGGCTGTGTCCAAGATGTCCCTGAAGCCTTGTCCTGGCTCTGCTTTGCTCCAAACCCCGCTGCCAGAGTCAGCTTCTCGCTGGGGCGGCTCACTCGAGGCCATGGAGCTGAAGGGCAGCAGCACGTTCGTGATGATCCAACAAACGCCGGGCTCCGCAGCCAGGAGCCGCCGAGGCAGATGCATCGCTGCCTTATTATTTAAGGTGGATGACTTGCTGGATTTTAACCCTGGGCTTTCCGGAGCCCCGGAGGGCTGTGCCCAGGTGTGATTAGAGGTGCGGGCAGGGGCTGTGCTGTGCCGGGGCCGGGCAGCTGCAGCCCGGCGCGTCCCTGCCGCGGCAATGAGATCTTTGTTCGCAGCGGCAGCTGCTGGGGCGGCCCGTGTCAAGTCTCCTCCAGATGCTCCCGGATAATGACGTGCACGGCTCTGGGTAGTGCTGCTTCTCGCCTTTTTTATTTTTTTCTTTTTTTTCTTTTTTTTTTTTTTCTTCCTGCGGGGGGGTTTTTGTGCACCGGAGAGATGCTGATCTGTGGGCTCTTGGATAGAACACTCAGGTCCTTTCTTCTCCAGTTGTTCCTTCCTCACTCCCAGCTGCTCAAAACTCTCCCTGCATTCTCCCTGGGCTGTGCTTCCTACAGAAGAGCAGCACCTGAGGTGCCCTGGTGTCCTCTGTGGTGTCCAAGTCTCCCAGTGTTGTCCCAACGCCTTCCCCCTCCCTGCTTTGGCCGCGGGATGCCGGGACAGCAGCACCCGCTGCCCACGGCAGGGCTGAGAGCCCTGAAATTCGGGGCTGCTGCGGGCAGAGAGGGCTCTCCCCTCCCTCCTCCTGGCTCCCAGGGGCTGTGGGCACAGCCGGGATCGAGGTGGGGCTTTGTCCCTGCTGGCACTTCCAGCCAGCCCGGAGCTGCTCCCAGCCCCATGCTGGTATTTCACTGCAAGGCCAAGGGACACGCTGTCCCTGCTCCCTGCCCACGCATATCCTCCTCCACAGCCCTCCAGGCACAGCAGGGAAACCTTCAGCTGAAGGTTTCGGACAGGGAAAGCTGGTCCAGCCACCCACAGCTGCTGTGGGGCTGAGAGAGCTGGGAAAGGCCAGGATGGCAGGGTGGGATGGGGAGGTTTCCAGGGCTGTTTGCCTGTGATGGAGAAGGCAGCTGGCGGAGCATTAACAAACCGAGCATGTCCTCTCCCTTCTGCTGCATCAGCACCCCGGGAGCTGCCTGAGCCCTGCCAGGACACACGGGCAGCCCAGCCTGCAGCTGGCACAGCCAGCCCCCATAGCTGAGGGCTGCTGGCACTGCTCCCACCCCGCGGGCTGGGGCTGCCACAGGGAGCAGCTCCTGAGCTCCACAGGGAACAGCTCATGGGCTCCACAGGGAACAGCTCATGGGCTCCACAAGGAGCAGCTCCTGAGCTCCACAGGGAGCAGCTCCTGAGCTCCAAACCCTGGCTGCAGGGCCGGGCTCTGGAGGTCTCTGGGGTTCCCCACTCCAGCAGCCATCCGTGGCTTGGCACACAGCACAGGGCAGGACGGGCTATTGGCCACCTTCAGGATTTGTCCTGGAGCTGCCAGGGCTGGTTGGTTGAGCACAGGGAGGGCTCGGGGGTGTTTGTGCTCAAAGCTTTTGTCCTTTTCCAGATCCCACCCTTGGGTGCCTCGCCTGGATCCGGCCTCGGGCACACAGGACAAGCAGAGGACACAAGTGGCCACGAAGCACTTTCCAGCCACGCAGAGGTGTGTGGCAGGGAGAGCCAGCCTGGGGAGGGTGGCACGGCCCACAGTGTGCCAGTGTCCCTGCACGGGTGGGACATTGTCCCAGGGTGGCAGTGGCTGTGCGGAGGGGGCAAAGCTTGCCTGCTGTTCTCCCCTGGTGAGGTTGGGTGGCCTCTTAATGACTCAGCCCATTTAAAGCAGAGAGAAATGGCGTTCCAGGTGCAGGTTTGCCATGCCCTGGGCATGGGGTCAGGGAGGTGGGTCCCCCTGGGGCACTGGACCACGATGGCTGCGGGAGGGAGCAGCCCCAGGAGGGCAGAGGGACGGGGATGTGGAGCCTGGGGCCACAGCGTGGGGGGAAGGGAGGTGCTGGCATCTGCCTCCAAGCCATCCAAGCAGAAAAGTGCTGTGCTGTGCTGCAGGGAGCTCCTGGCTGCCACGAGCAGGGGCTCCCAGACAGCCCTGGCACGCTGCTGTCGCCTGCCAGCCTGGCATCCCTGCCTGCTCCCTCGCTGCTCCTGTCAAGTGTCTCTTCCCCTGTGTTGGAGCAGATCTATTTTCCTTCCTTGGAGGTTTGCCACCCAAATTTCCTGCTTGCTCTCATTGTTAAATGCTCAGTTTCTAATGCCCAGGCAAGGAAGAGGCTGAAATCTCCCTCCTTGTGGCTGCTCCTGGAGGGCTGGGTCTCCTAGGGGATGTCCCAGCTCACAGGGGGAGATGGGGAACTGCTGCCCTGGGCTTGTGGCAGAGTCTCCAGAGCTGTGTCCCCTCCCTGTGCCCTCCCCAGCCATCCTCAGGGGAAGCCCGGGTGTCCAGTGGGAAGTGCCCATGTTTGGAAGTGTGGCCCAAAATAGCCGTGGCTGCAGCAGGCAGGGGTCCCAATGGCACCTCCTTCTGGGGAACAGGGTGCCCAGAGGAAGCCAAGTGCCTGTGAATAAAGCACATTCCTCCCCCATGACAAAGCAACCCAGTTCTGGCCTGGGGCTGTGCTCCAGCAGCTCCTCCAAAGCTCTGCACTGCCCAGACTGTGCACGGTCCTTCTTGGGTCAGTGTCATTCCCCTTGGGTCTCCTTCCCCCAGCTTTTGTGTCCCTTGATAATGAGGGGCTTGGCAGCCTTCCCCCATGCTGCCCCCCTCTCTGCAGGTGCTTTGCCCTTTTGCCAGCCCAGGGGGTGCACAGGGGTTAGGGTGAGGGTTAGGGTTAGGATTAGAGTTGGTTAGGGTTAGAGTTGGTTAGGGTTAGGGTTAGGGTTAGGAGGCTGCAGGAGACACCCTGGGTGCTGGTGACCCCTGGGCTCAGCTCATAGGGGTTTGCAGCTGGAGCACAGGGCTGTGCAGGAGGAAATCTCTCATGCAGGGGCTCTGCCATGTGTCCCTGTCTTACCTCCAGAGTTGGGTCGCTCCCCTCTCTCCCTGCTTGGAGTTTCTGCACAGGACAAGAAATCTGGGCTTTCTGAAGTTTGTTGTGTTTTGTAGAAGGGAGCCCCAAAACTTCTAAAATTGCTTTGCCTTTTAAAAAAACCCCAAAATGTGCTGTTGCTGCTCTCACCTGTGCTCCAGACACCAGCTGTGGGTGGCTCCTGGAGGGGTCCCAGCAAACCCCAGTGCTGCCTTTGACCCCTGGGCTGCTGAATGTCCCTGTGCTTCAGAGCAGCTCCTTGGCCATGCCTGCAAGGTGGCTTTGGCTGGGGATCCACCTTTTCCTCCTGCCAGCACAGCCTCTCCAAGCCTGGCCTGGGGGCACACAGATGTCCCCGTGGCTCTTGGCTCAGTCCCCTGCCTGTCCCTGGGCAGGAGGGGTGGCAGGGGTGCAGCTGGGAGGAAGGTGCTCAGGCACAAGGCTCTTCTTAAAAACCTTATTATCTCTTTGATTATAAACCTTAATATCTCTTTGATTACTTGCATTTCACAGCCTTTGGGTGGGCCAGATCACTGGGACTGACTAGTGAGAGGGAAGCAGACTAATGAACCTCGCTCGTTAGCGAGCATCCCTTTGTCCTGTTCCTTGGAGGAAGCAGGGAAGGGGTGTCCAGCCCTGCCACTGCAGCTCCAGGCTCTGCATCCCAGCCCTGCCCCAACCAAGCGTGGGTTGTTCAGCACAGCACCTTCTCCTCATGGCTGCTCTGTTTCTCACTCCTCCAGGAGGAAGAGGTGGACTCAGAAAACGAGAAGCTGGTGGTGAGAGAGCCGGAGGATGAGGATGGTGAGTGCCAAGCAAGCCAGAACTCTGCAGGGAGATTATGGACAGGACTGGAGCCCTGAGTGCTTGGGCATGGTCCCTTCCTCCAGGAAATTCCTACCCCTTCTCCAGATGCCCTTGGGCTGTTTGCCATGGGGGAGCTTTGTGATGCAGCTGCTCCAAAAGCTCCTTGCTCATCCAGGACAATCTCCAGAGGCTTTAGTCAGGGCCACGTTTAACTGATTAGCCAATTAGTTGATTGGAAAATGATTAATTGACTAATTGGGGTGACAACTGCTGCAGTCCTAAGAAAATGAAACAGATGGTGCCTGAATGTGTGTCTGAAGGGGACTCTGCTCTCTGAGCAGCCCTGGAGATGCTGGGATGTCCCCAGGAGTCCTGGCTTGGGGTGGCTGGGGACAGCTGGGGCAGCAGGAGGCCTTGGGGTGTTCCCCCTTCCCTGCCCCACTTTCTGCCTGGCTCTGAAGGCGCTGTGTGGCAATCCCCCAGCTCGGGAGGATTATGCCTAATGCCACAGAGAATCAAATTTTAATCCTGATGCCATTCCTGCAAGGTGGGGGAAGCTCCTTTGGAGACAGGGTTCCCAAAATACACTCGTTCCACCCTGCTGGGCTTCCTTGCAGCACTGGTGGCTGGGGATGTCACCGTGGGGGGCTGTGGGAGGTCTGGTTTGAGGATTGATGGATGCCCCTGGTATCATGGGGCATCCTTACAGATGGGATGGGGGAAGGTGAAATTCCCTGGCTGTGAGACCTGGCTAGCACTGTGTCCTTCCTAAGCACCTCCTGCAGGCAGCCCCTGGCTCCTCTCCTGAATTATTCCCACTGTTTCTAAGTGTTTGCAAAGCCCAGGCTGAGGGAGCAGCTGGGAACACCAGCAGTGCCCTGGGACCAGCCCTGCTCCTCCTTCACTGTCTCCTGCGTGTCCTGGCCCCACTCAGCCCACGAGCAGAGATTCCCCTGGGACATGTGGAGATCCCACAGCCTGGGATGCTGCCCTGTGCCCAAAACCACCAGAGCAGCCTCCCCTCCTCTTCGGGCAGGGAGCTGGCAGGGATGACATGTGGATCACGCCAGAGCAAGCCAGTTCAGGGGAGAGGGGCTCTCTTGGGGCTGCTCTCACCCTGCCAGCTCAGGGTCACAGCACTGCCAATGCGAGGGCAGAGAGATGAAAGACAAATGTTGTCTTTAATATGAACTCATGGAGGCTCTCAGTAAGTAGGTCGCCTCCTATTCCTGTAGTGTTTTCCCTGTCTACATGAAAACCCAGCCTCCCCTTTTCTGTGTGTTTCCTGAAGTTTGTTTTCAAGCTGCAGGGAAAGTTCCTGAGCTCAAAAAACAGCCAGAGGTTTCCAAAGCCACACACTGTCTCCTTTTTTTAATCTCACCGTGTGGGCAGGGAAATGGGGACCCTCCTTGCCTGCCTTCTCCCTTATTATTTTCTGGGGAGGTGAAAACTAAATGCTCTTTTTGGGCCAGTCTAAATCCCAAATCTCACTTGATTTGGCAGAAAACCATGTGAGGGAAACAACCTTAATTGTCCTTGAAATCATTCGAGCTTTACAAAGGTAATGAGCAGCTCCTGCTCTGCACCAGCATAAGGAACAGGAAGTTACACCCTCTTTTTTTTTTTTTTTTTTTTTTTTCCTTTCTCCTAATATCTCCCAGAGCAGCAGCCAGCTGAATTTTCTTTCCATGCACTTTTATGGTCACCCAAAGTGCTGATAAGCTGCAGCATTACTGCTTGTTTCCAGCTAGCCAGGTTTGTTTGTTTGTTTGCCCATGGGAAGGGTTTCCCAGAGAGGGAAGTGGAATATGGCCAAGCTGAATGTTTGGGGCTGCACACCAGAGCTTTGGGCTGCTTTGTGCTTTGTGACCAAGCTGGATAAAGGGTTTGCATCCCCTGGGAGGCCCAATGGCATTTAGGGATTAGAGAAACACTCCAGATCAGTAATTGAGTAGTAATCCACCAGGACTTCCCAGGGAAGCTCCCCAAGATCAGGAACCTGGAGATGTAAAGAAGTGAGGAAAATGTGGGCATTAGCAGGGGAGAGGACTCTGGGAAATTCCCATCCCACTCCTGTTGCTTCAGGCATGGTGTCCTGGTTTAGGGCAAATTTGGGAGAGAATATCTGAAGGGGTTCTTCTAGAAAGTAGATTTAAGTGGGGCTTTTTCCGTGTGGTGTTTTTTTGTTTGTTTGTTTTACAATAACTCATCAAATTTTATTAGTAAATTACACTTTTGGCATGGAAATGGGTAAAAGTTGTTGTGCTTCACTCCAGTGAAGCCTTGCCCTGCTTGTTTCTGAGATCTCTGGTTTCCCCACCTACCAAATCAGGCTGTGACTTACCTTTTCCAAGGAGGTCCCCAAGGTCTGGCAGCAGCTGAATGTGGGCACAAGCTTGGGGTTGCAGAAATCAAAAAATCAAGGTATTGGACACAAAGAGAAAAATCCTTAAGGGCAGTATTGATCAGAAAATAGAGGGAAGCTGGTGCTGAATCCTGTGTGTGAGGAAGGGAGGGGAGGGGCTGTGAGGGGTTTTTCATTTGGGCAGGTAGAGGAGGAGAGAATCATGAATATGGCCACAATTGCAGTGGAGAGTGCGGGAAGGGGCTCCCTGTGCTCCTGGGAGCAGAGGATGCATCCATGTGCTATGTACAAGTTGGGCTTTCTCTCCTGCCAGGGGAGTTTCACCCCTTTAGGGGTCCTGCTGGTGTCATCCTGGATCCTGCTTTGTGGATAATGTGCAATTTTTCAGGGCCACGCAGATAACGAAGTACCATCTTCCTTTTGTGCACCCCTTGGAAGCATCCCCAGGGCTCTGAGGGTCGGGGAAAGCAGCAGATATTCCTGGGAATGTGCAAACCCCAGTGCTGGATGGCTGGATGTGAAGCAGCCAATTCCTGCAGTCCTTGGGAGATAAAGGCTCTGAGATAAGCAGCCCGTGGATAACACATATCCACAGCAGCAGCTCCTCCTGGGCCCCTCTTGGGCTGACCTCCCCTGCTGTTGTTTTCCCCTATCTGTAGGCAGATAAAGCACGGGAGAGGTTTTTAAGAGCAAATAGTGCTCGAACAAAATCCGATTGGAAAAGGATCGGCTTTGGCTCAGAGTCTGAGCTTTGGTGCTCTAATTAGCACAGGGCTGAGGCTGCAGAGCTGGGTGGAGAGCACCCAGGAGAAGGAGACCTTGGCTTGCTCCTCAGGGCTGTGACAGAGGGGCTGTGCTGTGCTCCTGGGGCTGCCCTGGCTCGGTGCTCTTTGCACCCTGGCGTTTGCCATGTGGCATCTTCTTTTCACAAGCTTTGTCACGGGCTGCAGGAGAGCTGGGACAGCTCTGCTTGTGGCACCATCCGTGAGCCCCAAGCTGAGGAAAGGGCCCCTGGATGAGGAGAGGGAGAGAGGAGGAGGAATGCAAGACTGGAGAGGAGAAGCGGAAAATGCTGCGAGTTAATCAGGGCAGGATTAGCATGTCTTGATAAGCCAAGATGGGCCTGCAAGGCTTTGAATGCAGGGAGAACAATGGCATACGGTTCCTGTGCTCTAGGATTTCCTCAGATCTGCTGCTCACTCACAGCAGTCCTACTGTTTGCAGTGCTGGTGTGGCCAGGCTCCTGCCATCCTCTGGCCAGCAGCACCTTGGCTGTGCTCTGGGATCCACACTGCCTCCCTGACAGTGCCCAGCCTTTCTGCAGATTGGAGTCACTCAGGAAATGAGCTGGGGTGGCCAGAGCATTTGGGGTGCAGGAGCAGGGCAGAGAGCACCCAAAGAAAGTTGTGGCTCTCGGGAGGTCTCTGGTTCACAGATTTCTTGCTCTTTTTTTATCTCCCCTCTCCTCTCTCCAGCTGCAGATGAGAAGTTTTCTTTTAAATACAGTCCTGGAAAGCTAAGGGGAAACCAGTACAAGTCAATGATGTCCAAAGAAGAACTAGAGGAAGAACAAAGGTAAGTTGAGCTTCCTTTTTCTTCTTGCCCAAGCCCACCTGGCTGACATGCCCATGGAGCAAGCTGGGTGTGCTCAGTCTCTCTCTGCCCACACTGCCCTCAGCCTCTCACTGCTCTGGAGCTGCAGACCTCTCCCACACAGGAAGATATGAGAACAAACAAAGTCACACTGATTTAGGAGATGGAGGCACTGTGGCCCTAAATACCTTTGGAGCTCCTCTTAGACCAAATTTTCCAGCTGCTGCAGCTGGTGTATTTGCCCTGATCCCATCAGTTCTGTGCTGATAGATATCTCCTGAGGACCTGAATCTTTGGTTACTTCCCCTCCCCTGGCCCTGTGGATGGCACACCAGCCAAGGGCATGGGCACAGCTCAGAAACACCGGGGCAAAGTGAGGGAGCACAAGGTTCTAGAGCTCACTGAGATGGGGCTGACACTGCAAGTGTCCATCCCCAGGGCTGTCTCCTCAGCTGGATGTGGTGGGGATTTACCAAATAGTAGGGCTGGTAGAGATGGAGAATTGTTCATCTTGCACTTTTTGCTGAAGTATCCCCCTGAGCCCTGCATGAAGAAAGGTCAACCCTGTCCTGTCACTTAAAACAAGCTTTCTGGCAGGAGATTCCCCAGCCTGTAGAAGGAACAACCCCACAGCTGAGGGCTCTGTGGCAGGCTGCTCCCTAGAGGTGTCTGCAGCTCACACCCCTTCCCTGAGCTCCAAGGAACTGATTTCCCCATGGTGGCTGGGAGATGCTGTTCTCCTCACTGCTGTCCCAAGGGCTGTGGGACCCAATTCTCCACCCAGAGGTTTGCAGAGAGTGATTTAGGGGCATTTGTCACCCCTTGCCTGTCAAATTTTGGTCTAAATACCACCACAGTTGACCTGGTGTAAAGAACCAAGCAGAAACTGGAGCACAGCAAGGAAGGCAGGGATGGGGGGATCACAGCTGACCCCCAGCTCAGGCATCTCCTGCTGGAAAACCTTGCCTTGAGGCTCTTGGGCAGCATCTTTGTGATGCCACCAGCTGGGCTGGCTGAGGTTTATCTGTGTGAGGTGAGCAGGGCACTGTGGTAGGCAGAGTAAATCCAGAGACCTGCCCTGCTCTGGGGTCAGCAGCAGAAATGAGCTCTGGTTTCCTCTGGCACGGGGTTGATTCTGCATTGGTGGCATCAGGAAAAAATGTTTGCTTTCTTCTTTTCCATGTGTCTGTTGTGCCTGACGCCCCCACCCTGTAAACTGCTGGGCAGGGCTGTGAGTGTCACTGTATTTTTCACTTGGGGAGGGTGGTGGGGGGATGAGCCAGGTGAATGTCAGGGACACCCATGGGGCTAGATGGGATTTGCTTTTCAGGATCCTGCTAAAAACCAATGCAAAAATCTCCCTGCAGCTGGCAAATTCAAACCCTCTGCACCAGCAGCTCCATGCAAACCAGCTGAGCAATCACTGCTCAGGTTTTCAGGGCCAGGAGTCCTGCAGGGCCTAGGGCTGGTTCTTGAGTGGCAAAAAATGCCCTTGTTGTCACCTGAGGACACTGAGGGGACATTGCCTAAGGACAGCAGTGGGATGGGGGTTTTGTACTCAGGGCTCAGAACAGGCTCCAGGGGGTGATGGAGCTGTGCTGGGCACATGGCACTGCTCAGGCAGCGCTGGAGCAGCCCCAGGCAGGACAGTGCACCCAGAACTGATGGGCTTCGTGTCCCTTGCAGGCTCTGAGCAGCCTTCCCCACTGAGAACCACTGGCAGACGTGTTTTTCCTACTGCTCCTTTATTTTCTTCTCTTCCGTATTTGTGTTGTTCATTTCTTAAAGGCAGCTTGGTGAATTTTTTTTTGTCTTGCTTTGTTGCTGGCTTACTTTTCCCCCCCTCAAATCTTCACTGCGGCATCAGCAGCTTTTCATTGCAGGCCTCGCAGGTGGTGCAAGGGGGCAGGGCTGCTGCCAGGTAAGCTGGGCGAGCTGAGCACAGCGCCTCAGCCTTGTCCTGCATCCTTCTCCTTGCCCTTCCACCCCTCTCCCCCTCTCCATGAGCCCTGACAGTGCTGCTGACCTGCTGTGACCCGGGTTTGCCACCTTTATGTTGCAGGATTGAGCTGACCTCTGATCTCACATCTCTGTAGCAAGTACCTTAGGTCCTCGGCCACAAACATTCTTGCAAATCTTTTTGGTAAGGACACTGCTGCTGCTTAGAGGTAGTGGTACCACTGATAACACCTGCTCGTGTCTTGGATTATTTTGCTTTTGGGTTATTTTCCAGGGGAGGGATTGTTTTGAGCTGCAGTTGGTTGCCTGTCCCACCTCCCTGTTCACCTCCCTCCCCTTCCCTCCTCATAACAGATTAATGAGTCCACTCCCCTCTGCCTCCATCTCACTTTCCATGAGCACTCCAGGGCAAATGGGGGCTCTCACATTTGGATGCTCACCTCTTCCATCTTGGATGCCTGAAGCTGGACATCCCACAGTCACTTCTTTGTGCTGATTTGGGAAACTGGGGCTGCTGCAGAGTGGGGGGTTAGTCCTAGGGTGTGTTACCAAAACTCAGACAGGTTTAGTGTGCACTTTTAGCCCTGTCACTCCTCCAGCTTTCCTGTGGATCAACAGGTTCCCATGTGAAGCAGCAAATGTAAGAAACATCCTAAAAATGCAAGTGGGTCCTCAGAGGCTGCTTGCTGTGTAGTTCACAACTTTGAATTTTGGGACTCCTTGATTTTGGAGATGCCACTGAAAATATTCCTTGCGTGTTCCAGGAGGAGCTGTAGGACTACAGACAGGAGCGTACAGGCATGCAATAGATTTGGTTATTTAAGCAAAAAACCCACTTCTGTTCTAACCTGCATCCCTGCAGAAGCTGTGGTTGTCCTGCCTACAATTCACTTGAGTCTTGTGGCTTCCAACTGGTGCTAAATCTGGACTAAAAGGGGAAGGAATGTGACCTTCACTGAGTGATGCAACTTCCTGCTTTTGGTGACTTCAGCCTCAAAAATTAGAGTGCTCACTGAGGGAGGAGGACAGTAAATCCTTTTGGCAAATACTTCTGCTGGGGTGGTGGCTGTGCTTGATCACACCTGGTGGGTCACCAGTCCTTCTGGAACAGAAGCACGTAGCCTTTGCCCCCCTGGGGGAGAAAAACAGTCTGGGCAGGAAGGGGAAGAGTGCAGGGGAAGGATGCAGCCCTTGGTCCAGCCAGCACAGCTTATTCCCAAATCCTTGTCTTCTGCACCTGAGGCTTTTGGCCATCTGTTGCCAGCTGCAGCTGCCACGGTGCAGAGCTGGAGCTCAGGAAATGTGAGTGCTGGTGGTGCAGCTGCCCCTGCTCAGACAGGGCTGAGCTGTGTAGGTGTGAGACACAACCAGGCTGCATGAGACGTGCTGCTGTCCTGGCTGGGCAGCTCCTGTGGAGGAGGGAGGAAGAGCTGCCCAGTGTGTCTGCAGGGCCTGGCTCTCATGGGTGGCTTGGAGTGGTCTCTGCCAGATGTTCTTCAAACCTCCCTTTAGGTTGAAAGAGGTTAGTGGGGATTTTTTGCTGTTAGAAATGAGTATGGTCAGGACTCTGCTGGGCCTTGACAGCTGCAGCAAGGCTCCACTCCTTATAAAAGAGAAGACAATGGGAGAAATGACCCCCTTGGGTCTCTGCTTTCAGTTCTCTCTTTCCATGAGGCAAAGCAGGTCCCAGCCAAGCCTTGGTTGGCCTCAGTGCTGTCAAGGGGCTGAGCTCTCTGTGCTCTCTCCTTGTCACTCTTGGCCTGGAGTGTTGGGGGGACAAAGGAGAGCAGATCCCATCGGACAGGCTCTAGAAAGGTGGTCTCTCTGTCCTCTGGTGAGGTGAGGGTGAAGAGCCAGAAGCTGCCCCATGGCAGACCCATTGAACAGGGTCTGGTGAATGGCACCAAACTGCTCCTGGCAGGGGCACTCCTGGATGGAGCAGGAGATCCCCAGAGCACTGCAGGGAGGATGGGGATAGCTGCTCAGTTTCCCTGGCTAGTGGGCTCAGTTCCCACGTCCAGGTGACCCATTCAAGGAGCAAACTCTCCTCCTGCCTCTCAATCCTCTCCTCTCACCTCCTGGCCAGCCACAGATGGGTTGAGGTGACACTGTTTGAATGCAGACTGGGTTTAAGCCTAGGGCTCAACTGCAAACTGGAATTCATGCAAGGGGAATTGGATGGCTGTAAATATCAAGCTTAGCCCTTTTCTTAGTGGCAATTGAGCACTGGAAACCTGCCTCCTCCCAGCTGGGTTCAGAGTGCCTCTTGGTTATGGGGTACTGAAAAAAACTAGGCTTGGACTCTGGAATTTCAGCAAGGCAGGGTAGACCCTGGTTCTAGAATGTCAGAGAGGAGAGACCTTTCCCTGCTCTACAAGGCATCCTGAATGAAAGTGGGATGCAGCTGTGGCTTGAGGGCCAACTGTGCTGAAGTTTGAATTTTGAATGAGACAATGCTGGTGATGACAACCCAGGAGCACACAAGGGCAGGAAGCAGCTGCAGAGGTTTAATGACTGTGTTGACAGACCTTGACCTATTTCAAACATCTCCACTAGTAGCCCTCCAAAAATAGGTGGGTGGACAGGGCTAGGGGAGGTTGCATTTTGGAGAGCTGTCCATTGGCATCTGTCCCTGTCCACCCCCTGCATTGCCATCACATAACCCTGGCCTGCCTGCTCGCTCCCCTCTCCATACAGCATGGGAACTGGGCTTCTTTCTCCTCCCTCTCTTTTGCTAACCTTCCCCCCACCCAGTGGCTTTGCAGTCCTGTCCTGTCCTGTCTTGTCCTGTCCTGTCCAGCATGGTGCTTCTTTTGGATGAGGGAAGCTGGTAAGTTTGGGCTTTTTGGGGGTGAGGGATATTATTTGTTTGCTTCTCATCTTCTGCAGCACGATAGTCGTCCTGGGCTGAGGGAGGAGGAGCAGCAAGGGGTGCAGAGCCCATGGCCATGGCACTCTGCAGGGCAGGGTGGCCACTGCTTTACTGCAGCCACCAGCCACAGGGATGGCACCAGCCATGGGCA